TGGGGAGGAGCTGGGCGCTTGTGTGCAGACAGTGGCGGGAGGACTCCATTTGTCTGTCTGCCCGTCCGCAGCCCGTCTCCTGCTGACAGTGGTGCCCTCGCGGTCCAGGGATGTACATGCAGGTGGAGTCACGCACCAGCTCCTGCCTCCATCTGAAGAGGGCTCCAGGCATCAGGTCCTGGTCTCTGCTTGTTGGTAAGAATTTCCATGTTTTCCCTCAGGTTAAAAATCTACCTTTAAAAAAAGATGAAAATGAAACTAAATTGTTCTTCCTTTGTTCCATTACCCCCAAGTATAGCAACTGTTTTGTTGCTTTGTATCTTCCCAGCCTTTACTCTCTGTGCATGCCTTTGCAGGGAATTCCCACAGCCCCTTTTTCACCACTTAGCTTCTCCTACTGTGTGTGTTCTTCTGAGGTCTTGCCGTTCCCCTTTTACTTGCTTTCGTACACCTGCTTGCAGGTGTATGTTGCAGGCTCACGTGATGGGCCACAGTTCATTCCTGTTTTCTCTCCGTCCCTGGCGCCGTCTTCCCGAGGGTCCTGCACCCGACTGTGCTGTGTTGGTGGGATCCAAGGAGTGAGGGCTGGAATGGCTGTGCCATCAGCAGTGGTCTCCGGTTCATCGTTCCCGTCACCCTGCATGTGGCCTCTTGCCTGTTCTGCCTCATGTGCCGTGTAGTGAACTTTATATATGTCTTGTGTTCGTTCCACACGACATGCTGTTGGCAGGTTCCTCTGTCTGGTTCCCACTCAGCCCTGGAAACTTGAGTAGAGAAGCGTGTCCAGGGAACACTGTGAATGGTATTTGCCATGTTTCCGAGTGTACTCCCTGGATGTTTCCCCCACTTAAAAACAAATTTTTTTTTTTTAATTTAAATTGTAGTTACTTAACATACAGTGTGTTTCCCCCACTTGTGAGCCTGGTGGTCTTCTGTCCCCCTGCTCCCCACCTGCAGCCATCCCTGGCCCCCGAAAGGCCTGCTTGTCTGGGCCTGGGGCTCCTGGGAGGAGGGGGCTCTGGGCTGGTGTTGGCCCAATACTGAGGCACCTGCTTTCTTTTCTCTTTGCAGGAATCTTGTCTATTGGCCTGGCTGCCGCCTACTACAGTGGAGGTGAGGTGCTTCATCTGCTCACCCCCTACCCCGCAAAGTAACTTCCTCTGCCGTTTGGGAAATAGAGCAAAGAAACAAAGCCCTTCATTCGTGACCCACTGAGGCATAGCCTTTGGAATTGGCGCCCCTGCCTCTGTAGCCCCAGCTGTGTGCACTGGTGTGGTTTTCCTAGTATGCCTGTGCCATGAAGCCTGTGCCTTCCCCTTATATCTGGGGCATTTTCCTGTGTCATGAAATATTCTGCAAAAAGGTGCTCTCTTGTGCCAGCCTGATGTTCCGGTGCAGGCTGAGCCATACTCGCAGCCCCCCTGTAAGTTGCTGCCCCTCCATTGTCACAGGCTATGCCAGCCGAACTCCTCTGTCTCCAGTAGACACTGGAGGGGGAGCTGAGGGCACCCAGAGCTGGCTGGCCGTCCTGGGCCAGGGTTCCTTGCAGGCACGGGCAGCCAGCCAGCCCCAGACACCACTCCTGCCCAGTGTCCACTGGGGCGGGGCCCCTCATGGCCTTTGCCCTTCACCTGGCTGCGTCCTGTGTTTGCTCCTCAGATAGTCTGGGCTGGAAACTCTTCTACGTTACTGGCTGCCTGTTCGTGGCCGTGCAGAACCTGGAGGACTGGGAGGTAAGGTCAGCACAGGCAAGGGCGCTCAGGTGTTTCTGCTCCGGGCTTCCCCACGTGGGCATCACAGCAGACGGAGAGGCTCTGAGGCCTGAACTTTTAGCTTAGTGGTTTCTGGTTAGTGGCATTCAGCTCCTGGGCAGGGAAATCTCCTGAAGCTGTTTTTCTCCTAGAAGCTCTTCGTGACTGTTTACACCGAAATTCTTTACTCTTGAGTGTTGCCATAGCACAGAATAGAATGATGGGCTCCCTCGGTGGCTAATGTCTGTCTCCCTTGGTGGCCAACAACCTCCCCTTCATGAGGAACCGCATGACCCAGCGTTGCTCTCTGACCTCCGAGCTTTGACCTCCATGCTTTTGTTTGACAACCTCAGCTGCTGTGCTTACTTCTCTTTTGCTTGCAGAGAGCACCTGCTTTGATGCCCCTCTTTCTCTCTACACACCCTGGTCCCGTGCTCCCAACAGACAGGAGCACGAGAGCATCTGGCTGTAGGTGTTTGGCTCTGGCAGAGCACTTGGCCGTCAGGGTTGGGTTTCAGCTGGGTGTCTTCCTGAGCGTCTGCTCTGGCGAGTCCGGGCCTCCTCTCTGGAAATTTTGTGTGTGGCTGGCTTGCAGAGAGGCCAGCAGCCAGGTGATCACCTTCTGGCCGGTTTTCCAGGAAGCTGTCTTCAACAAGGGCACCGGGAAGGTTGTGCTGAAGACGTTCAGCTTGTATAAGAAGCTGCTGACTCTTTTCCGAGCTGGTCACGACCAAGGTGAGGCACAGAGAGTGCACAGGACCTGGGGTGTGGCGGGAGGCCGGCTGCCCCAGGCTGGATGGAGGGTGGTGAGTGGAAAACAGAGACCAGGCCTAAGGCCTGGAAGTGGGGTGGGTCCAAGCTGGCCATTCAGTGACTTGGGGTTTTGCCCTGACTGGTGGACACAGGGTGTCCCCAGACATTGCCGGGTAGCCCCTAGCTCAGTGGCCAGCCATCAGGGACCAGGAAGGCATTTTTCAGCAGTTGGGGGAAGATGAAGCAGAAAGATGGGCAAAATAGAGCTCAGCTCCTCCCTGATGCGCTTGAGGGCACGGGTAGAGTTTTCAAGGGGCCGGCAGGAGTGCTAGATGCCCAGACAGTGCTAGTGGCCCAACCTTGCGCTGTGGTCACTGACCAGTGATGAGGGTCTCTGTACGGTAGCCTTGAAGTGGCTGTGCCCAGCACACAGGCAGGAGGGGCAGGCGGGAGGCAGGCAGAATGCAGACACTGACCAGCTCCCCCGCAGTGGTGGTCCTACTGAATGACATCCGGGACGTGAACGTGGAGGAGGAGAAGGTCCGCTATTTCGGGAAGGGCTACGTGGTGGTGCTGCGGCTTGTGACGGGCTTTTCCCACCCCCTCACCCAGAGTGCCATCATGGGTCACCGCAGGTAAGCCGTGGGCAGGGGACTCGTTTGGCCAGGGCTGGCTGCCTGTGCCCCTCACCCCCATCAGGTGGCCCTCACAGTGGACTGCCCAGCACGGCAGGGCACAGGGAGGGGACCTGGGGAAACATGGACTGTCCCTGCCACTAGGGGAATGTTGGAAGTCCCCACAGGGACAGAAGGGTCTCCTTGAGGACAGAGGTCCGGGGTCAAGTGAGGGTCGGGGCCAGAAGGCACCACGTCCTGGAAGTGGGCGGTCCGGCAGGAGGTAGGTGTGGTCTTCCTGGCCAGCACCTCTGCCGGGGTGACTTGCCCCTCCTGTTGTTGCCCGGCCCAGTGACGTGGAAGCCATTGCCAAGCTTATCGCAACCTTCCTGGAACTGCACCGCCTTGAGAGCCCTGTGGAGCTGTCTCAGAGCAGTGACAGTGAGGCTGATGGTCCAGGGAGCCAGAGCTGACGCCCGCAGAGCCCCTGGCCTTGGTTCTGGTGGCACCCTCGTGGGCCTCCTGGGCCACCGGCAAGTCTTCCTCCAGCGCCTGGCTGTGTCCCTGGCAGCCCCGGGGTGGGACCCTCAGCCATTCCTGCTGCTTGCTTCTGTCCTCTGAGGACGCCACAGGCTGGACTTCCTCTGCGGGCTTTGAGGTGTCCGGGGAGGGCATGAGCCTCAGATCTGCCTCTTCCTGGCATCGGACGGCTCCAGCCTGGGCAGCGTGGGGACCGGGTCTCTGGAATGGGAAGGATGCCCAGGCTCCCCAGGGTGGGGAGGAAGGTTTGCCAGCACTGGCTCCCCCCGAGCTGTTCAACCCCCCGGTGCAGCAGGTGAGCACAGGGCCAGCGGCTGGGTCAGGCTCTGAGGATGCCCATGCTGGCGTGTTGTCCCCAGGAATCCCAGTGCTCCCTACACACAACCTCCCTTCCCCGGCTGGATGTCCTCATTGGTTAGAGAGGTCCTTCCTTGCCCAGGGTCTGCAGGGCCCAGGGCAGATGGCGAGGGTCCTGTCTGGCTGTGTGCACTGTGGCCACGCCTGAGACCTCCCCAGCCCACAGACAGCAGTCTCCACCCAGGATCACGGCTGGGCTGTCACAGGGCAGAGAAGACCTCAGCCTAGGCGAAGCCTGCTGGTCAAGAGGAGGCTCTCCTGGCTTCACGGTAGGCCTAAGCCAGGGCATCTCCCTTAAGAATCAGGTCCTAGCTTCTTGAACCCAGGCAAGAGGTGGGCTGGGCCCACAGCTGCCCCTCAGTGGGGGCCCAGGGCCGCAGGGCGGCGAGGGCACCTCTGAGCAGGCCCTCAGGAGGCTGTGTCTAGGAATGGTCAGGACACAGAGCACTGCAGTGTCGCCAGGCCCTGGGTGAGTGAGGACAGTAGTTTCTAGGAAGCGAGAGAAACAAGACACTCCCTCTTCTCCATGGTGGCCGCCAACTAGCCCTGATTTGAGGAACAGTCATTTATACAAGCCAAAGTTAGGTTTTTAAGTGGTTAAGTCAAAGCCTTTTTCTAAAATAAAGTATGAAACGTCGTAATGGGTTTGTGGTGTGTTCATCCCAGACGATAGATGCTCTGTACTCTGGAGGCGGCTCCCCCCCCCCCACCTTTGCTGGGCCCCCGGGGTGAGGAGGGTCTTGGACCCCTGTGCAGGCCTGACTGCAGCCAGCCAGATCCATGGCAGTTCTAGCTTCCACTCCCTTTATTTCAAAAGAGCTGAAGCTCCCACGCAGACTAGCAAGTAGGCCCGGCACATCGTGCCTTCCATCGGCCTTTCCAATGACGGCGGTCCGCGCTGTGGGTGCTGCCTGTGGCCGGCAGTCCCAGGCGCCTGGCAGACCTAGGGGGGCCCCAGGGGATGGCTCAGGTTCGGCCCCTCCCCTCAGGGGTCCTGACCCGAGTGTGGGCTGGGGCTGGGGCCGGCGCCGGCCGCCTCCCTGAGGTCCTGCACCAAAGCCTGCAGCCGCTGCAAGCTGGGCCGCGCGTTCTCCTCCAGCCACTCCTCCACGGCGTCCGGGTAGAAGACACGATGCAGGGCGGCCTCCAGCTCCTGCACCAAGGTGCTCCACCTGGCCAGGAGGCTGAGGACCAGTGCCCGTGGTGAGCCCGCCTGCCGGGCACCCCTGGGTGACAGCTCACAGCCTGTGCGCCACGCTCACGTTCCGAACAACCCTACAGGTCGGTATGGTTCTGTGCCTCAGTTTGCCCATCCATGAAACATGGCTATTAGTGCTCACCTCACAGTGTTGTTGGGGATAAATGAGTGACTATTGTGTTTTCACATCTAAAACTGGAATGCTCTTTACATCTAGCTGGCAGGGTTTTTCTTTATGTGTGAACCTGACAGCATCTGAAGGCATCTAACCCTGCGTGGACACTGAGTTGGCCTTGGCTCAGAGCTGTGAGCCAGGAGAGCCCGGGGGCAGGGGGGCTGGCTGGCTGGCTGGGACTCTGTCCCCACAGTGCTGGGGGGGGG